CCATGCATTTTCCTCCCGTACCTAGAAAAGCTATCAAAACAAACTACTGGTATTGTCTGAAATAATATAATCTTGTAGCACACTGAAAATAACAAAATAATCTATTTTTCTTAGTTGAAACTAAAAACCCAAGTACCGTATATTCACCCATATACTTATCGACCACCGTCTTTATGTACTCGTACCAGCGCTGCTGCCTGTCAGACTGCTGTAGCAGATTACGGAATTTGCTTTTCAGTCAAAAAGCACCAAAAAATGTCAAGGCTTGCGGCCTCAACCAACACGAAAACATTAACCGCCAACTGGCTAAGCTCATGGTGTCTTTTTGGCGATAAAATGAAAGAAAAACATGTCTTTATGCACCGCCTTGGTCTAAAAAGCGCGCCCTCCAAAGCTCTAAAAATATATCCACCAAGCACTAGCATGTGCAGAGACCACGCGAGAACGGCAAGTGTACCCATACACCATTATGACGACAAGTTTGTAAATCTAATCTCAACACATCTGGTCCTTATTTGTAAATAAGGCTAGGCAATTACTCGCGTCTATAACGGATGGTCGGCTCGAAAATGCCATGCTCCAGCTTACACATAGAAGTAGAAACGTTGGTTACGACCACTGAACATAGACGTACCAAGAGCGGATTCAACATGTTATAGGACCTTTGAAGACTGCAAATAGAAGAATTAACTTAAAATCAGTAAAATCACATAGATGGTAGTCTTCCTGGTATAATTGAGTTTGATATAACCAATAGCGTCAATTCACCGAGTTTTAGCTGAATCACTCAAGTTATTTAAAACAAATATATGTAAATTAAAAGGAATGTACCTGAAGTCTCTGTATCTCAGTAACAACGCGGTAAAATACATAATTTTACATGGAATTTTTCAAAACAAAAATCGAAAAGCGCACAAAATCAACATATAAACTTTTTCTTGTACAGTTTCTTCAACGCATTCCAATAAAAATATCAAAAATCTATTTTTCAGCTTTCCCGAGTTCCGCGGTCTTCGTGTTTTTACATCCGACTTCCACTATTTTAATTGAGTTATCTTTATGCTCCATTTCAAGCCAAAATCTAATCGTTTAATCTTTTTAAATACATCAGGTTATAATGAAACAATAAAATCAAAGGTGTAAAGGGCCAGGTTATATCACTAGGTTATGCTAAATAACGTCACTTCACTTGTGTAATAGTGCCAGAGCCTCTACATGCTCTTCGTCAGCAAAAGTCGGCAAAACTCTCCACTTATCTAGACTATATTAACTGTGAGGGATTATATTAGAGATTAGACAAGCCACCAGTAAGATTCCTATGGATCTATTGTTGTTGATCCGACTGGATAGCCTTGCCACAAGGCATATTGTTTCTGGGTTTAAGATTAAATATTTGAAAGCTGAGCATTATCAGCCCTTTGTGAGACCTAAGAGGTACAATGCAGTAGGAAATGCAGAGCCGGCAGTCTTACAGAGAACCGGGATTTTCGGAACTGAAGTCAAATTCTGTAATCAAAACCAAGTTAAAATAGACGCCTGTGTGGGTAATTTCAATTCCATATTAAATTTTTTGCCTATCAAGTTATTATAAGAAACGGCATTTCTTTTCACTTATCTATATATGTACATATAATCTATATACATTTATTTGCATTTTGGAGAACAAACATTTATTATATAAATGTCAATGTCTATGTAGTCTGTCACACCACGTCTGAATACGGGGAAAAGTAAAAATTTACTCTTTTGGATTGAAACGCGAGGCATAGTCTTATCGACGAAAATATGCAAGTTTTCTTAAATTTTTGATATCTGAAATAAAGAGCAAGAAAATGTATGTTCAAGTATGTCCATAACCTTGACTATGACCGTCAAGGTCACTTGAAGATCAAATTTATTTTTAACGGAAACATCTATTTTTAATTCCTAAAATGCAATTTGTGGATAATTTAATTTCACGAATATCCTTATGAGGAAATTTGAACATGACATTCAAGGTCATTATAAGATCAGATAAACTTTCAAGTAAACTCCTAACATTTTGTCGAGGATATAAAAAAGCGTAACATTGAAATTGATTTATTAAAATGTTGAATAAAAATATTCATTGCCAAAGTAACTATTGTATCATTTTGAGTATTGCATTTTTTCTCCGAAACCAATTTACTCCACACTAATGCAGAACGAATGACTTCACACTTCTTCGATGGGGCCGGAGCCTCGGGTCTAGTCTAATAGTCTTTATAATCAATCGCCACTTTTGTTGGCTTGTCGCGGTCTGTCCAGGCATTTACGGCCCGCTGGACAATAGAAACGCGCGAATTTGAACGCCGGGAACTGATGTATTTTTTTTTTGTAGAGGAGTAAATGAAATCTTAATCTACAGTAATAAGTAGTTAGTCTCATCAATATAGGAGATCGAACATGAACGAGAATTGGATCTTCAAATATAATTCATAATAAATAACATTTGCGGTCCCAGTTCCTCAGTCCGATTCAATTTTGCTGAAAACCGCTGGACTTTCGAGTCTGGATTTCCCAGGACTACTCTCCCTTTACTGGAGTCTCTTCGTGAATTCTGTAGAACCGACTCGGCTACTAGCCTCTTCGTGCTGGGTTCAAGAGCCTCGGATGCTGGTTTAATGTTACAGTTCTCTGACGGAAGACCTACTAAGGCCTAACGATTTTCTTGATTCCAAAATCAATTTGAAATAAAGTAAAAATAACGTAGACCTCTTCAAGTTACCTACTCCACCTCTGAAACTGCTGGTAGGAAAGCAACATTCCCATAACTTCTGCTTCCAAGATAGATCCGTTTTACACAGAATTTATGCGTTCTTGATAACATCATCATATGGAACTTGGCTCGTTGCTTACTATAAGAGCGGCACTACCGAAGGTACTACTGTCACACAAGTCCAAGCAAGGTGAAGCAGTGCCGAAGAAGAAGAATAAGTGTGGTAGCCGAGTATAAAAAAGGATAGAGAATTTGTTCTGTCAGATGTCCTCGAGAAGGAGAGTTATAGTCGTACCTGTAGGTTTGTCACATCGAAGAAATTGTCTGAGGTCAACGGCTCATCGGTACTACGAAATGTAAAATAAATACGCAGCTCGTAACAGGAGGAATAATTTTCATGTTCAAAGACGTGAGGACAAGCCCTAAACATTCGGTGGCTTCTTAGCATATGAGCGAACCCATCGAGGGTACCACTGTCACACAAGTCAAAGCGAAGGTGAAGCAGTCCAGAGAAAGAATACTGGAGCAGCAGCATATCAAAAAAGGAGAATTTGTGGTGCCATATGCCTCAAGAAGTAGAGTTATAGTCATATCTGTGACTTTGTAACATGGAAAAAGATTTATTAACGATATCGACTTGGCTGTACTACGAAATATGAAATAAATTCGCGACTCCTAAATTAAAAGGCGGCATGTTTTTAGTGTCTCGACGGCAAAACCTAAATATTGGACTGTTGCGTACTTCGAGGGTGATTCTACCGATGGTACTACTGTCACACAAGTGCAAGGAAGGTGAAGCAGTGCCGAAGAAGAAGAATAAGTGTGGTAGCCGAGTATAAAAAAAGGATAGAGAATTTATTCTGTAGATGTCCTCGAAAAGGAGAGTTATAGTCGTACCTGTAGGTTTGTCAGATCGAAGAAATTGTCTGAGGTACTACGATATGTAAAATAATACGCAGCTCGTAGCATGAGGAATAATTTTCATGTTCAAAGACATGAAGGCAAGCCCTAAACGTTGGGTGGCTTCTTATTATATGAGCGAACCCATCGAGGGTACCACTGTCACACAAGTCCAACCGAAGGTGAAGCAGTCCAGAGGAAGAATAAATACTGTAGCAGCCACGTTACAAAAAATGAGAATTTGTTGTGTCAGATGTCGCAAGAAGTAGAGTTATAGTCATATCTGCGGGTTTGTGACATTGAAAAGGACTTATCGTTGCCTTTCTACGAGGGTGATTCCACCCATGGTACTACTATCACACAAGTATAAGCAAGGTGAAGCAGTACCGAAGAAAAAAATAAAAGTGGTAGCCGAGTATTAAAATTGATAGAGAATTTGTTCTACCAGATATCCACGAGTTATAGTCGTACCTGTACATTTGTGACATGGAAAAAAGTGTCCGAGGTTAACGACTCATCGGTACTACGAAATGTGAAATAAATACGCAACTCGTAGCATGTGGAATAATTTACGAAGTACAAACTGAATTCGCAACTTGTAGATAAAAGGCCGCATGTTCATATCAACAGTCTCGACGGCAAAGTCTAAATATTAGACCGTTTCCTACTATAAGGATGATCCTATCGAAGGTACTACTGTCACACAAGAACAAGCGACGGTGAGGCAAGCGATATATAAGAAAAAGAGTAGTGTGGTAGCTGCGTATGAAAAAATGGAGAACTTCAGTCAGATATCAGAAAGTTATCGACCCGTTGGTTCTACTGAATAAGAGATAAGGTAAAGACAGTACAATCAAGACGGCAAATATTGGGCGCTTCCTTGCTATGAGGGTGATACTACATATGGTACTACTGTGACAGTCCATGTCATCGAGCAGTAGGTATAGAAGGATAGTGCGAAAAGGATAAAGAATCTTTTCTGGCATATGTCTCCGAAGGGAAGGTTTGTGATATGGTAAAAAGTAAGCAAGGTCAGAACTACGTGCATATATATTATATTATGGCATTCTCGTTATGTTGTATTTAGAGAAAATGTAGCCGAAGCCTAAGTCCAATAGTTCTATGAAAGTGGAACTGCCAAGCATTCTGAGGTACTATGGAGCGAACTACTGTGAAATATATCCAATAAAGTGGATTGTAGCTAAAGTTATTGAAACATTTGCACCAGCAGAGATTTCTTACAAGTTATTTTCGTAAAGATATGATTTCACTCTAGCTTAAATAATTTTATAAATATACATATATTTACGGTCTATATAACACAATTACTTCATAAAGATTCTTATATATGAAATGCACTTACCAAATACGGGACTGTGGTCAGGTCGTTGCACATTTTTGCTAGAGGAATTATAATGTCCACTTCCGGATTTTTCCTGAAATAAAAAAGAAAACGTGTTATTTTTGTAAAAAAAAGTGGAATAGGATATTTATATCCAGTACAAAGCTGGCTCCTAATGATCTGCTTGAGTTATACGGAGTAACTCAGTACTGCTCTGCAGTTCTTCACCAATCAATATCGTTACACTGAGCTAGAGTGTCATGCGTCTTTACCGCATATTTTTTTAAATATCTCTTTTGCACCAGCACAGCACCATAACAAAAAATCAATTACGTTCTCGTGTATATTTACATTTTTTTTTGTAAAGCTTGTATAGCGACTCTCAGGAAGAAAAGCTCGACCAATATTCTCTTTTGGCCTTTCCTCTTCGAAGTGTGAGATTTGCCAGAAATGCGTACACACTCACTAAAGCCGCTCAGTCGTTTGCTATACATCCCACCACGGTAATGTTTGTAGCATTTCTTCATGGTGGATAGCGTACCATAGGTACTTAGTCCTCTTCAGGTCTGTCTTTGTCATCCTGTATTTTGCTCAGCACTATGCGCATTACTCTTGGTTAAATGTATATCCATTTGCCCTCGCTCACGTGTCTGGCAAAATGGTCATCAGTAAGTCTCTCGTCGAGCTCAATTCCACCTGTCTCTGGTAGTCAACCCATCTACCATATTCAAATAGATGATTGGGAGTATCCTCATCTTCATTGCAATATACGCAGTTCGCGTACTCCCTCTCTTTCCTAGCCTCGTCAGGTAGCTGTCAAACCTGGACAGCATAGAAATCTATCTGCACCGCTCCCTTGACAATCCAGGTTTTCCTACCCTGAATCAGGTTTCTAGACCATGCACCATGACCAGTTGTATCACATCTGGCCTGTCATGGGAACATAACTAAAACTAGAACATTTTATTTTACAAAGAAGTAGCCGCGCTTTCCGATTTTTGAACTGTCTAAGTTTAGTAGGACTGGGAGCGATCGTATCGGCCAGTTCTAGATGTACGACGTTCGACAGGGTTAGGATGCGAGGCTGAAGTCATGCGGGTCTGTCTGGCAGGCAAGAAAAAGGAGAGTAATACTCGGAGAACATAAGTCTCAAAGCAATGGCATCTCAGTTATATTCTAGACATACGTATAAGTCGAAAGATCGAATGAATCTAAAAATGCTAATTTTTGATATTAAAATATCATAATTTCCTGAACATATGGTTATGACAATATTTCAGCACATAAAAGATTCTCAGAGCTCAGATACATTTTTTTTAAACCTGGAATTCGACCGTGTGGAACCGCCTTCAGGAATCTACTATCGTGACCGATGCATTAATTTTTACCGAAATAACTAGATATACTCTAATACCTCAATTTTCAATGCTTCTTCACCACTTGGCTACCCGTTGGTTTTTAATTTTCTAAAAGCTTCGCAAAGTAATTTCAGTCGAGAGACTCGGTTGTACATGAAAATGTTGAGCAAACACTTATCTATAAGTGCTTGAAAAATATATGTGCAGGTGCGCAATTTCTGAAACACTGAAGATTTGTTTTGCAGGTAAATATTGTGGGTACATGTACATAAGAGACTAGTGGTAGAAGAACCGAGCAATTTTCATATGAGTTTTAAATAACATTTTTTGCAACTAACCTGAGAAATCACCGTTATTGAAAAGAAGTAGCTCTTCTCCCCTGTGTAAGTAATGCTACCAAATAACACCTTGGTAAATAATAGTGGATTGAAAATCATATCCCGTTAACGTCAGTATGCCAGTTTGACAACTAAACTTTATATTCCGAAAACAAGTGAGAAATAGCTGATACAGAGTGGCGCGTTTGAATCCGACCCTTTTTAAATTGCTATAAAATTGAAGCTAGGAGAAGCAAAGAAAGTTAAGCGTGGCATTGGACATTTATTTCAAAAAGATACTAGTGACGGATGAAAAGAAGCTTCTTTTCGGAGCCATCGCTTCTTCAGCAAGTATTTCATTCTTGATTGTTGTCTCGAACTCGTGGATGGTACGGAGCTGATCTCTGTAAAAATAATCATATACCGTGAGGTCTGGCGAGCGAAACTGCTAAGAGTCATCTCCATTGCAGGAAATTACAGGAAAACTCGGCGCTTACGATTTGCATGTATACCTTGTGAGTGGTTATATCACTATGAAGAATTTCTGATTCCACAACTGGAAGAAAATGAATACGATACACCAGGACTAGGGCTTCACAAGACGCAGGATCAAGACCAAGACTATGTTTTTTTTTTGAAAGACCAAGACTTGGCTCGCAAACCAAGACTGTGGTACATGAGCCTTGAGGTCTTGCAAACACTACTTGTCCAAAATATTGGCATCTAACATTTTCTAAATAGAATTTCTTGAATACATCTAAAAAGCTAAGACTTAAAAAACAAGAGAATACTATGGCACTTTCTTGGAGGTATTAACTAAATAGTTGAAAAATTATAGGTTATAAAAATCTATGTTTACAAGTTTTCTACAAATTTGAACGTAACATATTTCCCCAAGTTTTATGTAATTATTATTATATTATGTATCCCTGGCGAAAATTATTCTGGAGCAAACTGACAGTCGAAATTTTGTGTATGCATATAAGTCTCAAAGGCATGTTAAATATACTTTTTCCCTTAATATATTAAGCACGGACCTCTATTATAAAAAGCTAATTTCATAGAAATATTTATTTTGCAACCTCCTCGTAACCAGAAATTCTGTGACTTACAGGGACTTTAGTAACGGAATATTTTGAACATACGTATTTCAAATAGATACGAGGGCTGAGCATAAGTAAGATTTTGCATAAAAAAATGTTTTTTTTTGTTAACAAAACGAGATGAAAATAATTGTTTGGCAAGTAGACTGAATACCTATAAGTATTTATCCGTGGAAAGAGTTACAACAGTAAGCCTTATGAAAAACGAAGGTTAACATATGAAAATTTAACATAATTTCAATATATAGTCTATATAGTAATTATGATGTAAAATAAATATATAATGCATAATAAAGTATAATGCATATTCAGCATTAAAATTAATATGGAACTATTTGAATCGATTGGCAAAACTTGCAACAGCAAGGCGAAAACCAAGAATAAGACTTCAATAATTAATAAGACCAAAATTAAGCTAATATCTAATGGTATTGGGCTTGCATTGCAACACTTCTGTTATGTTGCAAGACCAAGAACATGCAAGTTTTGGTCTTGATCTTGCGAAGCCCTAACCAAACCAATATTTCCAATAGGATAGAGCCACTTCACAAACAGCGGGTATCCATGCAGATCGTAAGCAGCTTCTTTCCTGGACATGTATTGCGATTTCGAGCAATGGAGGCTCTTGGCCAGCTCGCTCACCATACCTCACGGCCTATGATTATTTTTTGAAACGGGTTTACAGAAATCATATTGCAGCAATTCCAGTTGACATGCTGCCGCGTTCAAAACGAAACTTTGAGAACGACTCCGAGAATGCTTTGCTAAACAAGGAAGGCATCTAACAGTACTTGTTTTTCATACGTAACGTTTTGAAAGTAAATTGCCATTACCACTTTCAATTTTAACATTTATTTGCCTCTCCTAGCTTGACTGTCAGAAATTTTATAGCCCCTTAAAACGCGTCAACATATTAGATATAGCTCGTCAAAAAGTTATCCTACTTGAGTGTTTTTTTATAAACCGAAGCAGCCACACAGGCAGAAGCCGAAATGCCAGGGCACCGCGGCTGCTATGAGGAGCTTAAAGCTTAAAGGAACTTTGTTACTCCAATTTTTGAACTGCCAGGTTAACAAAACTGAGAAAAGCCTCCTTGTGTAGTTTGTTGCAAAGTCTAGATACCCTATGTACAAAGGAGCGGTCGTATCAGACAGTTTTGGAGGTCGCCCCCGTTAGGTTGGGAGGCCGAAGTCAGGCGGGTCTGTCTGGCAGGCACATCGCGCGGCGGCATCATGAAGGAGGGCTCCAAGGAGCTAAGCCCGTTATCGTAGCGATAGAGGAGAGCTAGATCACCTACGGCCCGCTGATGCGAAGGGGTCATGAAAAGAAAAGTACCTCTTAGCCATAAATAGTCTAGATTTTGCACAGCAGATGTCACTATTTGACGAGATGGGTGCGTGCTAGACCAAGTCCTCGGAGATCTCTACTACGACCAACCGAAATGACGGCTCAGTGGTAAAACTCAACCATCCATCGAAACCGGAAGAGCGCTAGAACGCTTCTTGTTAGTCAAAGTACAGTATTTGTTTTGGAAGCATTAAACTGTACCAGATTGTTGCGTCCCCATGCAGTGATAACCTCCAGGTCTCTGAGATCGTTGATATGTAAGAGAAACAACGTCGGAGCCAAGACCGATCCCTGGGAACAGCCACGTCGTCATTGTGGGATGAAGAGGATACCCGTCAATTTCAACGGATATCTTGCGGCCAGTAAGGAAGTCAGCGAGCAATCTCCAAAGCTTCTCTGGGAGGCCATAGTATCGAAGCTTGCATAAGAGGGAAGCATGCCCCAGCTGATTGAACGCTTTAGTCATATCAAGAGCAACGACAGGAGCCTCACCATAAGTCTGGGCGAGTTCACTCCACAGTTGCGTGACGTAAGCTTCAATAACCAGGAAAGCTGTCTGTCAAGTTCTTGGTAAATTAAAAACTGCAAATGTGGAAGGTTTTTCAAGTTCATCATTAAGTTCTAAAAAGCTCGAGTAATGATAATATTTTGGAACTACTCATCAGAAACAACCAAGTTTGGTCATAAAGCGTGATGCACCAGATTGTTCAAATACCGTTTAGGGAAGATAATATTAAGATTGTCTTTAAACTGATGATGATGATCCAAAGTAAGTACCAGATGAGAGATATTGTGTTTACAGCAGTAAACATAATAATTGGCACATGAAAGAAAATAGTCTCAACCAATCTAAATAAAAATACATATAATTAAATATCTCTAGGTTTGTCTTTTTATTTCTATAACTGTGAAAACCGTTGTAGAGAAGAAAAAGTAAAAATATTAAAGAGCAATTCATTTTGAAATATC